GATCCTGTCTTGCTCTTAGCTACAGGACTGCAGTAGACTTTCCCTATTGACCCTCCTCCAGTAGGTATATAAACAGGTGTTCTTGGGACAGTGGCCTTGGAAGCTGGATTCCTCTTTATCTATAGAATGTGTGACTGCCAGACAGACACCTCCTTAGTTTACAGACAGTGTAGTTGCCAGAGCTACGGTTTTGGTTATGTGGCCCTGGGGTCTTTTGGGAAGGTGGGAGAGATGGGGTACAGGGTGGCGTGACACATTGAAGGTAACACGTGGAATGTGTAACATCCATTTAGCTTGGGTGGGAAGATTTGCCTCTGACTCAAGTGGAAACCCAGCGGCAGCCAGATGGATCCTCCTATTGGTTCTCACTGAAGCCTGGACTGGAGAACTTCCTGCTTCAGGCCACACTGACCTGACCCATGGCTGCCATTGCCTTCTGTTTGGCAGGTAGTCTCCTTGTCCTCCAACCCTGGCCTGGGATCTGTAACCCAGACGTCAAGAACTGAGCCTTTGTTCTCTGGTCACTTCTGCCCGAGGCAGGGCTGGGCTCGATGCCAGCTGGTCAGATAGCACCAACTGGAGAGGAAAGCCAGTAGGCTTGACCAGCCTTGGGTGGCACTCCTTCCTAGCTGTGGGTCTGGCTGAGAGGGGCCCCTTCCCACTGGGCACAGACTTTGTGCCTAGCACATTAGCACAGCTGGAGTGTGCAAAGGCAGAACCCTGGATAGATGAAACTATCCCCATACATTGCATCTGATGGGCCAGGAAGACCAGTTGGGAACTCCTGTGTCTTCTGGGTAGAGTCATGCTCCACTAGACACACTAGTTTTTGGTGCTCTAAACTGCCATATTCCTGAGCCTTTGAGACCTTAGGGAGGGACTAGAGGGCACAGATTCTGTCTCAGGCAGGCTCTAGATAGAGCCCCTTGGTCACAGGAGTCTGCCCCTTCTGTGTGGCTGGCCACCCTCTCCAGATCCTCATTCTGAAGGATCTCACACTGTATCACAAAGTCCTGTCTATTCTCAGTGGCATGAAGGCAGATGGTCTCGTCTCCCTGCTCAGGCCCTGTAAGTCACTGAGAATCCAGGTTACTGGGACCTCAGCCTGGAAGAAATGTGCTAATTTGGGGACCTGACTCCATGTGTCCTGGGCAACTTGCTGTCTTCTGGGCCACTGTCTGCCGTTGTGGAGCAGTTAAAGTACCTGAGATGTTTTAGAGGCACACGAGATCCACGCTGGTCCATTATGTCTCTGTTTGAACCTGTGTAGCCCTGGCAGGAGGATCTGTGAGGGCCTGTCATAAGGTAGAGCAACCCTTACCATTTGCGGAGTGGAATGTGGGGGAGGTGAGGTGCAGGGCAGAGAACAGCCTGGTAGAGCCAGTACCACTTATCTGTAGATTCACTCACTGTTCGCTTGGAGAGCTAACTGGCAGACTCCTCCTGCACTTTAATTTCTGGGATGAGTGCTGGCCTAGCCCTTCCCCAGTGGGAAAGGTTGTTAAAGGGACTGTGGTGATGGTGCCTCCTGTTTGTTTGTTTTTTTCAGGAACCGCCTAAGTTTTAGTATTTAATAATTAGGAGATAAAACTGGGAGGGGACAGAGATACACTAACGTTATTAACTAACCGTATAAACTGTGATAAGAATGCATGCTTTGCCAAAACATATGTACTTTCAAGCCCCTGTTTGGGTGCTACTGTTGCTGGGGTGGAGGTAACACAGGCCTTTAACCCCAGTACTCGGGAGGCAGAGGCAGACAGGTCTGTGAGTTCGAGGCCAGCCTGGTCTACAGAGAGAAAGAGTTCTAGGACAGCCAGGGCTCCATAGAGAAACCCTGACTCTGAAAAAAAAAATCCAGTAAATAACTGCTATAGTTAGCTACAATAAGTACATTACTACTATGTGCACCTAGTAGTTAAATGAATGAAGCCATTTGGCTTTCTCTTGGCTTGGAAGAATGGCATTCTGGGTTTCAGTGTAAGTCAGCTGCAGCCTTCACTTCTCTGTGGCAAGTATCTTGTTTCTGCCTTGCAATTCTACCCCAGCCTGTGTCAGGAAGCCAGTGATGTTTTTCTCCAGATTGTCAATATGACTACTTATTTAATATCCATTCTAGTTGGGAATGGTCTGACATTCATCTTGCTTCTGCTGCAAGTGTGTCTCCACCACCAAGGTGATGCTCTGCGTGGTCTTGGGATCCATCTTAGCCATCTCACTTCTTGCCCTCATTGTCACCTCTTGTCACCTCATTGGTGGTGACATCTCTTCCTTACCTATTGTCTTCGCCAGTCTTGCTGTGTCTCGAGACACCATGACTGCAGCAACTCTTTTAAAGGAAAATATTAATTGGGGCTGCCTTATAATACCAGAGGTTTAGTTCATTCCTGTTACAGTGGGAAGCAGAGCAGCCTGCAGGCAGACATGATGCTGAAGAGGTAGCTGAGAGTTCTACATCAGATCGGCAGGCAGCAGGAAGAGAGAGAGAGACACTGGGCCTGGCGTGAGCATTAGAAGCCCCAAAGCCCTCCCCTATGACATACTTCCTCCCTCCTAATCCCTGTCAAGTAGCAACTACTCTCTAATGATGAAGCATTCAGATATATGAGCCCCCACCACACCTGTATTTCAGTTTCTCAGCCAAGACGCCCCTAGCCACTGTTTCTTCAAGAATTTTGGGGGCCTCTAGCTATTAGTAGCAATTGGATACATTGGTGAGCTGAATAAGAGCTGCCATGCTGAGGGCAAGACCCTAAGTGGAAGGGGCTAACAGCTGCCTCACTCAGAGTCTCTGATCTCTATGAATCTATTCCAGCTTATGTGGCGCTTTGAATGGGAATATACCCATAAGCTCTTGTATTTGAATGCATGGTCCTCAGTTGGTGGAAGTACTTGGTAAAGATAAGGAGTTGTAGCCTTGTTGGAGGTGGTGTGCCAGTCAGGGTAGACTTTGAAGTTCAAAAGCCAATACCAGGCCCAGTTTCTCCCTCCCTCCCTCTCTCCCTTTCTCCGTCCCTCTGTCCCTCCGTCCCTCCCTCCTTCCCTCTCCTTTCTCTGCCTCCATCTTGTGGATCAGATGTAATCTCACTGCCCCAGCACAGTGTCTAGTTGCCTGCCGCCATGCTCCCCACCATGATGGTCATGGACCAACCCTCTGAAAGTGTAAGCCAGCCCCCAGTTAACTGCTTCCTTTACAAGTTGCCTTCGTCATGGTGTCTCTTCATAGCAATGGAACAGTAACTAAGACAGCATCTCTGGAGCCTTATGTCCTTCTTGCCCTCTGGGTGGTAAGAGGCCGCATGGTACTGTCCTCTGAGCACCCATCCTACCCTGGCATACAGTAATCCCTGCATGTCACTGGCCAAAACAAGGGGGCAAGGTGTCCAGTGTTCTGCTCTCTAAAGGCACACAAGGAGGGCAGTGCTCAAGGCTTTCTCAAGGTCAGGAATCAGAGCTAGCCATGAAGGACACTGTCAGAGCCACTACCATGGATTACTGTGTCTCTGTGGGGCAGCTCTCACCACCCTATCAGTTTGTATAAGATGTTGTCTTGATGGACTTACCTCTCCCGCCCCCAGACAGGTTTTTTCTGTGTATCCCTGGCCTGGAACTCCCTCTGTAGACCAGGCTGGCCTTGAACTCACAGAGATCTGCCTGCCTCTGCCTCCTGAGTGCTGGGATCAAGGGATGTCAAAGGCATGTGTCACCACTACCTGGCTTGGACTTAACCTTTTAAGTGTTTAATATACTAAGCATTTATGAGAATTTTAATTAATTAAGTTAGTAAGTAATTCTGAGATATGGTCTTACTGTGTGTGTAACCCTGACTGACCTGGAACTGACAGAGATCTACCTGCCTCTGTGCCCCAACCCCCCCCCCCGCCCCCGCCCCCTTTTTTTCTCTCTATGTAGTCTTGGCTGATTTGAAACTTCATATGGGGACCAGGCTGGCCTTGAACTCACATAGATCTGCCTGTCTCTGTCTCCCAAGTGCTGGGATTAAAGGCCACCATGCAGGAACTGCCTCTGCCTCTTGAGTGAGTGCTGAGATTAAAAGTTCTTTCTTTTTTTTTTTTTAAATTATATTTCCTGTACTCTCTCAAAGGTTCCTCTTTACCCCAAGATTAAAAAAAAATGTTTTTCTTCTCTCAGTATAAAGAGAGCTTTGAAGAAGAAAATATTTCTGGCATTTGATCACCCATCTGCAGAACTATTGGCCCATTCCCAAATATCTACTACTCACAAAAATTAGGGAACATGTGTCTAGACACCCTCATAGGTCCATCATCCCTGGGTCACCTCCCTCCAAGACCATTCTGGGAGGACTAACATGGAAGTTGGGGAGGAAGGGGAAAATGTGAGCCTGAACAAGCAAATCCTCCTGGGTCAGACATCCCAGCTGCCAGGGCCCCGCCTAGTGATGCAGGAGGAGGAGGCCTAGTGAGGGCCAGCTTTTCTTTCTGAGCTTAGGGGAAGTCTGGTTCCCACTAGGGTGGGGGATAGAGGGTGGGGCATGGGACACCACACCTGAGCCAGTAGGTGAGCTTCTTAGGGATTGAAGTTCAGTTTTCACGGTAGCCATGCCCTACCTGGCATGCTGAGATCGGGCTGTCTCATACACAAGGCAGTCGGAACTCTCTACCGCTGCTTCCCTGCCCGTCTCTGTTGGAGGCTCTGAGCCAGGATGCTGCTGTCCATCTTGGGAAGCACACAAAGGTAAGATGGTATTGTTGTGGGTGGTCAGCATAGGGGGGTAACCGGCTTTCCTCCTAGAGTAGTTCAAGAAGCTGGCAAAATATATCGATGGCTTTTTTGTCTTTAAAAGGAACTTGGCTTAGGTTTGGGGAAATCAGTGCTGAGACTTCCTTGAAATCAATCTTTTTAGATTTTGTTTCAACCTTTTAATTTCCCGGCAACTTGTGGTTGAAGCAAGCAGTCAACCATAGAATTATAATACCCAGGTCCAGTTTCACTTGGCACAGGAGAACATTTTGTAGTTTGGGAAGCCCATGCATGAGAAAGCTGTACCCCAAGCCCAGAGGTGTTGAACTTACCTGGATTATTTGGGCTGGAGATTTTGGTGGGGGAGGCACTGGGGTCAGAGACTTACTGGCTTGGTTCAGTGACTTCTGTCCTGCCCCATGGCTGGGTCCCCGTTTTCTAAGACTGTCTGGGCTGTGAGCCTCTGACAGTGTTTCCCTAGTTCACAGCCATAGGGAGAAGGTTGGCCTCTGCTTGGAATCTTGTAACCCTCCTTTACGTGGATATTGCTGGCATATTGTAAAGAATAGGCTTCCTAGTTACTGTGGGGTGCGGCACAAACCTCTGTTTAGCTGAGGGGCATTCCAGGTTCCTGTTGCCTCCTGGGACCCTAGTCTGATGGTGGAAAGCCTTGAAAACCTGTGCTCCTAGAGTGTTGAGTCCAGGGGAAGTCCCTTCAGGGACAGAGCTGCCCAGGGTGGCCTGTGTGACCTTGTGATTGGTATGTATCTCCATGGGGGGTTGATGTGACCATGGAGTCTGTGTGTCCTTGGGGTCAGCTGTCACTCAAGACCGGCTATTGGATCCCAGTCTGGGGGCTGCCTTGTAAGGGAGATTGGCTACCATTTGCCACATGTGGCCACGTGAGGGTGGGATGAGAAGTGAGGCTGAGTGTGGTGGCAGATGCCCGTTGGGTGACTAACTTCTCTTGGGGAGACACAATATACATGTTTACTCATTCTAGACATGGAGCCTACGCCAGACCAAAGTATGGACACCACCAAAGTTCAACTTGGTGACCAATGAGTTTTATAGGGGTTACAGGAATTTATTGCAGGGATACGGGTGAGAGTTTACTTCCAGGAGCAGAAATGACCCAAAGACGACTCTATCACCAAAGCCCACTCCAGCATGGGTGGCAGCTCACAAAGCTGGGGACCTGGAGCTCACTGCACAGCCTGCAGGCAGCTCAGCAGTTTGGAGAGCGTCCTTTCCAGGAATCATAGAAAAGCTTGGCTTGCGATTCACACAGCCCCTGGAGCTCAATGGCTAGTTCCCAAGGAGATGTTCTATGGTTTTGTTTGTGGAGGTCACCTGACGTATTGTGGACCCGTGTCCATAGGAGCTGGCTAGTTGAGAGCTAAATGACCCCTCCTCCAGGGCGCAGCCAGGTCTGGGAGGTAGGGGAGACATGGAGGAGAGGGTGGTATGGGACCCATTGTGATAGAAACGACAATCCTTGGAGGGAGTTCCCATGTCATTTGTGGAGCAACCACCCATTGCAAGAATTACAGAAAGAGGATTTCAGAGACTGTTAACTACTGTCCACGGATCTACCTGCCTAACTTTTAGAAGATGTTCGTGTGTGGCACATGAAACTTACTAGTTGAGGGATGCCCATCCTTTTGGATCACTGGCCAGTGTGATACATGCTCTGGGTCTCCAGGTTGTCCTATACTGGTGGGTATAGGTCAGGTTATCCATTGACTAGTATGGCAGGGTCCCCTGGGGCTGACAGTTTGTCTTTCATAGATTGAAGGTAGAGTAGAGGTGTCACAGTTGGGAAAAGCAGGGGTCTGGGCATCTGGGAAGGTGTGTGGTGCACACTTTTTTTTTTTTTTTTTTGAGAGAGGTTTCCTCTGTGTAGCTTTGTAGCCTGTCCTGGATCTCGCTCTGTAGACCAGGCTGGCCTCGAACTCACAGAGATCCACCTGGCTCTGCCTCCTGAGTGCTGGGATTAAAGGCATGTGCCACCACCACCCAGCCAGGTGCTCACACTCTTACAAGTGGCTTTGCTTCTTGCCTGTCTGCCTAGGTCTCTCAGACTGTGCAGGGTTTCCCACCAGAGCATCTCGGTGGGCCAGATTGAAAGAACTGTGTAAGTTTTCTCATACTCCCAGCATCACGGACCCTTTGCTGCTTCTGGGAGTTCGGTTGCACAGTATTTGGCCACCAGCAGGGGCTACTCCACTGGGCTCTGCAGGCAGATGCCGTGACTACTGTTCTCTCTAAATTATGTTGGGATCTATGGGAGGATATGGCCTCAGTCTTTCACAGCTTCTCCAGTAAAGGCAAGGTGAGGTGGGGTGGCAGGACCAGGTGCTTGGGTAAAAAGACTTAATTAGGTCTGGAGTCATTCCCGGTAAAGTGTTGTTTATCCTGGTTGCTCACCAGAGTCTGACAGCCACACTGGGAAAGAGAGCTGGAACATTCCCCTGGAGAAGGGAACTGGAACATTCTGGGGACTGTCTTCTTCAGGAAGCAAATGCCTCACCTGCCTCCCTCCTCTGTCCCATCTAACCTACTTATTAAAATTACCCAAGCTTGACTTGGGTGATTCAGCAGCAAATAAAGTGACACCTCTGATGTCCAGATGGACTCTGTACATTCTTTGGTAGTTGAGGCAACTGGATGACAATCAGATCCCTTTGTACTGGCATCTGTGACCATTTCCAGCGGGCCAGAGGAGGGTTGGGTTTCGTGGTCCCCATTGCCATGTTCTCATCTTGGTGGAAACCTCTTGATTCTAAGAGCTGGTTGAGACACTCAAGGTGTGGAAGAAGTGGACTTGGAGGGCTTGAGAGGACACCTGAGGGACCAGGTTCTAGGCAAAGGTTATGTCCTCCATCTAAGGGTAGAAAAGACAAAGGCCTGGGACTGTTTTGAGGTGGAATGCTTGGGAGTCATGGGAAATGTGCCCCCTCATATCCATGTTCTTTTGGGGGTGGATTTCAAGACAAGGTTTCTCTGTGTCACAATCCTGGCTGTCCTGGATCTCGCTCTGTAGACCAGGCTGGCCTTGAACTCAGAGATCTGCCTGCCTCTGCCTCCTGAGTGCTGGGATTAAAGCTGTGTACCACCACTGCTCTGCTCACAGTTGAAAGTTTGTCAATTATCTGAGAAAGAAGGAAAGAATTTCTTTCACTTTTTGCACATAAGAATCAAGGTTTATTTTAAAAATCTAGGTTCCTGTTTGTCCTCATGCAGAGGACTGGGCCAGGTTCTGGGTCTTGGACTATGGCCTCCTAGCCCCCAGCTCACGCATGGAGGGTGTGTGGAGGGTTGTGGGCTGTGCTGAAGCAGGGACAGGTGGTGGACTTGGTGCCCTCTTCAGCTTGTGATTTGGGAGACCCGGACCTTGTGCTGTCCCCGTAAAGACTCATTCCTGGCAAACCATAAGACAGATGGTTAGTGGGTGCTGAAATTTTATGAATCCGAGAGGAGACCAGTAAAAGGCCACGTGTTTAAGGAAGGATTTCTGTGAGGAAGAAGAAAGCAGTGGCCAGGGAAGAGCAGAAGGTGAGCTGTCATCTGGCTGTGCTCCTCCCTGTCCTTATCAGGTGGAGGTCACACTCCAACCACATAAGGCTGGAAACTGTCAGGCCCCATGAAGTCACCTCTCCAGGGAGTGCTAAGCACAATGACACAGGAAGCTGTTGACTTGAGGTGGTGCCTAGGTTGGTCTTGGGCAGACTTAACGCCCTCTAACTCAGTGAGGAGTCTTCGGTGGAGACTCAACAACCTCACGGCTGCTTCCTGTTCTCCGCCTGCCTCTGTGTCAACACTGCTCATCCGGGAGAGAGAGGGCCCTGAAGCTGAGGCTATCTGACCACGTTGGGTCACACCTCTGCAGCTGTGATGTCTGTTCAGTTCCTGCATCCCGTAGAGGCACCGAGGCACAGAGCTCTTTGTCTGTACAGACTTCCTGGGAGTGTTGGGGGACACTGGGACATGGCTGACACACAGAGGTGACATGTCCCATCCTGACTAGGGTAAAACTTTGAACGGCACAGTGAGGTGGCAGTGGGTAGTGGCGCCACATTGGGGTCCCAAGGGTTTTTTTTGTGCTGTTCGGTACAGGTCCAGTAGATAATGTCATTATGGGATGCCCACATCTATCATAGCTTGTGTCTTTGGGAGCCACACTGTGGGTGTGGAAGACAGGAGACAAATATGACTGGAAGACACTCAGTTAATGGCTGTAGTCAATGAGTTAGACATGTAGGTGTAGCCTCAAGAGGGTTTCTGCCATATATGGAGCCCCAGCTTTATGTATGGAGAAGGCCTGGAAGATCTGGATGGTTTTCTAATACTCTAACTGCAGGGGTGTCCTGGGCCAGAGTGGCTGTGCCTCACGTGGTGGCTCTGTGTCCTGGGTTGACACAGCCTGTGAATTAGGACCCAGCAGAGGTCTGCCCTGCAGGCAGCTCTGGTACTAGCATTTCACTGTGGCTCAGCTTGAAGCAGACAGCAAATCCTCCGCTTCCGCTTCCGCAGGTGGATTTGCCAGCCCGCTCCCTCCCTGTCCCAAGATGTCCACTTGCCAGTCAGCTGCCTGATGTGGCCCCTCCCACACAGGGAGGCCTAAGCAAGAGCAGTCCTTTTGGTGCTTTGGAAGCTAGAGACTGTGAGAGGAAGTGTGTGTGTGTATGTGTGTGTGCGCGTGCGCGTGTGCGTGCGTGCGTGTCCCTGGGGAAGGAACTCTCCTGGGCTTGAAGACAGCAATTCTCTTTGTCCTCACAGGATAGGGTTGGGTGAAGAGAGGAAGAAAACTCTGTACCTGTCTGATCAGGACACTAATTCCAATCAGTGTTCGTAATAGTGTTCTTAACCATCACTTTCCAGTGCCCATCTCAAATTGCCGTCCTATCGGGGGCTGGGGCCTTAGCATGGGGCTCAGTCCACGCATCTACCCTCCAACCTCCCCTTTGCAGCTCAGGGGCTGGGGAGGGCCTGTAAGGCCCCAGCTGCAGGTGCTCCAGGTTCTGAGATGAGCAGGCCTGTGTACCCTGCTCCAGGCTTGCAGGTTGTTACAGGGCTCCTGGTTGAGCCGTGGGTGGGGCTGTGTATCCAAGTGGCACTAAGCTGGTACTGCCCACAGGTTCTTCCAGGTGTTACTCCTGTTGCTGGTGCTGGTTGTGTTCCTGATGCTTGGCTTCCTACATGTGGACTTCAGACTGCTCACACCGTAAGTCCTGTGCGGGTGCCACGTGCACTGGGATGTGGTTCTCATCCCCCTGTGGCCCCAAGAGCAGTGCCGAGACCCCATCCTGCCTAAGAACACCAGCACTCACTTCCCCATTGAGTGTCAGTGCCCTCTCTGGGAGAAAGTGGTGAGCTATGCTTGTCCTGGGCCTGTCTCCTGCAATGACAAGCCCACTGGGAAGGTTTCTGAGGAAGCTCTGGGGAGCAGGCCTGGCCTGGCCAGCCTGGACTTGGAAGAGCAGGGCTGGGTTTGTAGGAGGAGCCTTGGGAAGGCTACCTTCTGGCCTACAGAAATGGCCTGGCTTCTAGCATGGCTTCCAGGTGGTGAGGTCGGGACTAAACTCCTTGTCACTAGGCCCCAAAGCACGCTCTCTGCTGCCTGCCAGGACTACATCATCCAGAGAGTTTCCATCTATGTCCACAGTACAACCAATTGCCTCCCAGGCCAAGGATTCCCCAGGGTTCTGGGAGGGTCTTATTTTCCTGTCATTCATGCATCCTCTGGTTAGATTTGTATGATGGGGAGGGTCCTCTGAGAAAACACACTGTCCCGAGGTCCACTGGATCCTGCCCTTCACCATCCTTGTCAATCTTATTGGCCTACATTAACACAAAGGTGCAGGCTGGAGAGATGGCTCAAAGAGCACTGACTGCTCTTCCAGAGGACCAGGGTTCAAATCCCAGCACCCACATAGCAGCTCACAACTGTCTGTAACTCAAGGGCCAGTGGATCTGACTCCTTCACACAGATGTACACGGAAACCAAACAGCAATGCATATTTAAAAAAAAAGGAAGGAAGGAAGGAAGGAAGGGAGGGAGAAAGAAAGAAAGAAGGAAGGAAAGAAAGAAAGAAAGAAAGAAAGAAAGAAAGAAAGAAAGAAAGAAAGAAAGAAAGAAAGAAAGAAAAAGAAAAGATGCCCTGTGACCAAGGCCATCTGAATGCATCCTAGCATTTGTTAGGCCGGCTGACCTTGTCTGAGGTCACTGGGCCACTGCCACACCTGGGAGACAGAGAGCAGGTTTTAGGGGCTAGGGGGATGCTTAGGGTCTGGGGTTGAGTCTATGGCTTGCATGAGAACAGAAAGTGCAGCTGTTGACATCTTTTTTTTTTAAAGATTTATTTATTTATATGTATACAGTGTTCTGCCTGCATGTATGCCTGCAGGCCAGAAGAGGGCACCAGATCTTACTACAGATGGTTGTGAGGCCACCATGTGGTTACTGGGAATTGAACCCAGGTCCTCTGGATCAGCAGCCAGTGCTCTTAACCTCTGAGCCATCTCCCCAGCCCAGCCGTTGACATCTTGCTGCAAGGGGAAAAATCATATCTGTCACAGAAAATCCCCCTGGATGGCAAGATTGCAGGGTGGTGGAGCTGGTGTGGGGACAAGGCACCGGCAGATAGTGAGAGGAGATGGCATAGGGACCCCATGTGGAGGGGTGCGACTTGGGGGATGCTGTTGGGGGTGTGTCGCCCCTTTATTGATGGCGGCCTGCACTGTCTCTCCTAGTCTGCTCAGGGACGAGGCCCAGGAACCACCCGTCACCAACATCATGTTCCTCAAGACGCATAAGACAGCCAGCAGTACAATACTCAATCTCCTCTACCGCTTTTCAGAATCTCACAACCTGTCTGTAGCGCTGCCCAAGGGCTCTAGCTTCCATCTGGGTTACCCCTGGCTTTTTGTGACTCGGTATGTGGAGGGCATGGAGCAGGATGGCCACCTGAATCATCATCACTTCAACATCATGTGCAACCACCTGAGGTTCAACTTTCCTGAGGTGTGAAAGATGGAGGTGGGGAAATGGGTGGGCTGGAGGTTGCCTTGCTTGGTGTTATGGTTGTTTGTAAATATGCTGCTTACAGGGGTGCCGTGGGGTGGGGTGGGGTGGGTGAGGCTGGGGTGGGGTGTAGAGTCAGGGGAGGAGTGGTTTGAAGTTGTAGTGTTGGAGAGGCCTGCCTGTAGACCCTGCCAGGCCGCTCTCTTCAAGTCGCCAGTGTGTAAGACGAATTGCTAAATGATCTTATTAATAAAAATCCTGGAGCCAGATATTAGGGTGAGAACTGAGAGATCAGAGGAATAGAACAAGCCACAGCCAACCTCACCTTACCAGCTCCTCAGCCTCCATGGAGAGCTACTTCCTGTATACTCGGGCCTATACACCTTTCTGTGCCCTGCCATCTCACTTCCTGTCTCTGCCCAGCTCCATCACTTCCTCTTTCCGCCAACCTCTATCACTTCCTGTCTGTCTGTCCGGACCTCCAGACCTCTATGGTTAACTAGTGCTGGGCTTAAAGGCATGTGCCACCAGCCTGGCTCTGTACTCAGTGTGGCCTTGAACTCACAGAGATCTGGATGAATCTCTGCCTCCTGAATGCTAGGATTAAAGGTGTGTGCTACAACTGTCTGAACTCTATCTTTAATGTAGTGGCTGGCTTTTTCCTCTGATCCCCAGATAAGCTTTATTGGGGTGCACAAATAAAATATCACATTTTCACTTTTTTTTGTCTAAAATAAAAAAGTTATAATTAATATAGGAAAAACTATATACAATAAGTACTATAACTATATACAATATATACAGGCAATAAATACATCAGCAATGTCTAGTCCATTTGCATTTGACAAATTCAGAGAAAATATTCCATTATCTATTCTATCTTTGTGAATCCAAAGGGTTGTATCTAATTTACCTTCTATCCTTATTTGCTTTACCAAAACTATCTTTTGATGTTTTTCAAACTTTCCACCTCTTTAGTGAGTTTCTTTTCTGAAATTGTTAACAAGGAAAACTATAACTATCTAATCTTCAACTCCCTCAAAGACCCGAGAAGGAATAATATTCCCTAGTTAAACAGGAAGTGCAAACAAGTGACTTCCAAAAAAATGTGAGTTATGACAGAAACAGCCAGCTGCCTGGACAATCACCCGAGGTTTCTCTGCAATGTCGGGGCATCCATCTTTGGCTCACAGGCTTAGCATATCTGACAGACTCATCTGTGAAGCAGGATTTTCTAAAGAGCCTTCCTACCTTGTCTTGGCAAGGATTGGCAGTCCTTTCTTTTGTGTCCTGCTTGTCTATTTTGGACAGCATACTGTCAGCAGTCCATGTGAGGGCACTTTCTTGCCCAGTGGCTAACTTTTGCCACAAGGAAAGTAAACTCCATACGGAGTTTCTTCAATGCCCACCATCTTCTCTGAAGTAGATTGGTGCTACCAGGAGCAGACATGTCTCATAGTCAAGAAAAAAAATCTGTTATTAAAACATCTTAAATGCCATATTCTGTTGATCTCTGATGTGTTTGAAGATGACCTGTCTATCTAAAACATATCTGCTTGACCTTGAAAACATACCTAATATGACTACAAGTTTGGTTGTAATGACTACTAACTTTCATTTCTTTATATACTAATTAGTTGGGAATAAAAACTTTCAAGGACTAGCAATTTGCACTACATTGTTAAATGAACTGTATAGGCACAATACCTTGAACAAGACTAGAAATATATGTACAATCTCAAATTTGTATCAATATACAAAATTTGTATACAATATACAAAAAGCCAATTTAATGTAAAATATTTAAAACTAGTAGTTGCTTTCTAAAAGTAGATTCAATAATCTACCTTTTTTTTATCTTATCGTATCCATATTCTCTCTTTTTTCCTTTTCAGAATATACCCTTTATTCTATCATTTATGTATCTTTTTTTCAGAGTAAATTCAATATTCTACCTCTTATCTATATCCTCTTTTTTTTTTTCTAACAAGAACCTTGAATCTAATTTCCTTTGTTTAACTTTTTTCCTGACCATTAACACCAAAGGCCTGTAATTGCTCTTGGCATGAGACTTGTAGCCCCAACTCTGTCCTCTTGAAGGCACCCCCAACCCTCTCTCACATCCCCCCGTTTCTGGTTCTGGAAGAACATACTGAACTTTTGTTGCCCCGGAACCTTTGCGCTTGCTCCTGTGGTGTACGAAGGAGCTGGGACGGGGGAGGGGGGGGGACGGGGGGACGGGACGGGGACGGAGACTCTGTGGGCAGCTGCATAGTCCATCTAACGCGGGGCTCTCAATGTCCCACCTGCTCCTTCTCCAAATAGGTGCAGAAAGTCATGCCCAATGACACTTTCTACTTTTCCGTCCTACGGAACCCGGTTTCCCAGCTGGAGTCTGCCTTCATCTACTACAAGGACTATGTGCCTGCCTTCCAGAGGGTCAAGAGCCTGGACCAATTCCTGGCAGATCCGTGGAGGTACTACAACGTCAGCGAGGGCCTGAAAAACGTCTATGCAAGAAACAACATGTGGTTTGACTTCGGCTTCGACAACAACGCTAGGGCTGACGCGGACTATGTGCGCACGCGCCTCGCAGAGGCGGAGCGCCAGTTCCATCTGGTGCTCATTGCGGACCACTTTGACGAGTCCATGGTGCTACTGCGCAGACAGCTGCGCTGGCAGCTGGATGACGTGGTATCCTTCAAGCTGAATGCGCGCAGCCAGCGTACCGTTTCGCGCTTGACGCTGGAGAGCCAGGAGCGTGCCAAGCACTGGTGTGAGCTGGACTGGCGGCTCTACCAGCACTTCAACCGCACGTTTTGGGCCCAGCTGCACGCGGAGGTGAGTCCGCACCAGCTCAGGGAAGAGCTGGAGCAGCTGCGGGCGAGGCGTCGTGAGCTCACCTACCTGTGTCTTCAGGACCCCGAGCCCAAGAACAAGACACAGATAAAAGACCGGAATCTGCTCCCCTACCAGTCTGGGAATGCTGAAATTCTGGGCTACAGCCTTAGGCATGATCTGGACAATACTACACTGCGCATCTGTCAGAGGATGGCGATGCCAGAGCTCCAGTATATGGCCCACTTGTACTCGCTGCAGTTTCCCAACGAGCCTCCCAAGAACATCCCATTCCTGAAATAGTGGAGGTTCAGCTAAGTGACCCCTTCTCCCCAGGCTTCCCTGTGAGCCCTAGACTTTGCCAACCTACCTTTCCAAAGTGAAAAACAGAGTGAAACCTGTGTGTAGAGACCCACCCACCCCCAGCTCTGGGAGGAGGGCCGTACACTTGAGACAACAGGCACAGCTGGACCACAGCTGAACCCGCCCGTTGTAGAGACATGTCCTGGACAGGCGAGAATGCTAGTACCCTTTAATTATCTGTCCACAGGGAGTCAGTCTAAACAGCCCATCAGGTGAACATCAGCCTTGGAGAGCACAGGGAGTTAGGCAGGTGGGCCTGGCCATCCATGAAGAGACTCAGAACAGCTCCCGGGGGGTTTTCCAGCCTCATGGATTCAGCACTGGTTACAGAGGAGCCATACCTGTGTAGGGCACACAGCTCCAAGTGGGGCCCAGGGGAGATGGGATGAATAGGCAGCGTCCCATCTTTGGCTTTATGAAGTACAGTGTAGACTGAGAAATTTGAAAGTTGCTGGTTGGACTGAACACAGCTGGGTCCACTTTATAGCTTCCCAGGGGGCGATCGTGAGGGAGAAAGTGTCTGATTTGAAAAAGGTGCTCAGAAGGTCTTAGATCTCTTTAGTTGCCTTGGAAACCATGTTGTATATAGTCTTTGGGATCTTTTGTGTGTGTGTGTGTGTGTGTGTGTGTGTGTGTGTGTGTGTGCCTCTCTTTTCCATTTGTGGGAAGATACTAAGCCCCCAGCCCCCAGTTCTGGCAGGACGATGAACTTGGTTACTGGAGGGGGGCGTCTTAACATCAGGGAAAAGCAAGGCGTCTGGGGTCCTGGAAAAGTTGCTCCTGTCACATACATACCCAGCCTAGAGCCTCCGTTTGAGCCATGTCTGTCGAGCCTGAGTGGAGGCTTTTCTTCTGTGTCAGAGCCCCCAGCTCTGCGCAAGAGGGCCCATGCTCCTCTGGACAGCAGTTTCATAGAGGCACTTTAGGAAAAGTAATTGTCAGTGAATTTAGAGATGGTGCAATGAATGAGCTTATCATTCCAAAAAGAAGAGTGTAAATTGAAGAACGGCTTTCCCAAACTGAACAGAGCTAGTCAAGAATGCCAGACGTGGTGGCACAGGTCTTTAATCCCAGCACTGGGGAGGCAGAGGCAAGCAGATCTCTGAGTTCAAGGCCAGTTTGTTACATAGTGAGTGCCAGGACATGCAGGGCTACAAAACAAGATCCTGTCTCAAAACAAAATAAAACAGAAAACCACAGACAAACAAAAAACCCTACCAAACAAACAAAACCAAAACCAAAAGCAAACCTCTGAATTTAGATGAAATTACTCTTAATAAACTTGGCTCTGGAAGAGTAGGAAGTGCTCTTCTTAGCCCCTGAGCCATCCCCCTGGCTCCTCAATTAGAGTTTTTTATTCTTGGTGGACTTCATTCTTTTTCTTTTTGTCAGTTGTAGAGATCGGTCCCAGGACCTCAAGTGAGCTAGGTCAGTGTTCTAACTCTGAGCCATGTCCGTAACCCTGAAACCTTAAGTTCTAGGAATTACTCAGGAAGAAAGCAACATTCAGTTGTTTCTTTCTTTCATATAAAAAGAAACAGTTGAATGTATATATGACATATATGTATATGTGACAATTGAATATATGTGCGTGCGTGAGCAATTCATGTAAATATTTTATTTGAACACATGCTTTCTCTCAGGAAAAAAATGTTCTTTATGTAGAATATGATATATTTGTTGGTAGACACACACATACACATACAGTGCTTAGAATAGAAGAAGCCAAGAGTACTTGAATTACAGTCAGCAATGGATCATTTTAATGTACTTAGGAATGGCTCATGAGTTTCTGTGACTTAATAAAAATTTCATAAACATGGATCCCATTTCATTCATACTTTATTTTTTATAATCATACCTAGATTACACATGAAAATTAAGTTACTAGATAAGCAAAATAATAATTTATTTCTTATTAAAGACCCTACCCAAGGTCTAATCATTGTTCCAATACACAGGACACAATAATGGGCACCGCCCTGCACTTTATTCTATATTTAATCCATTCGCACAAAAACACAGCTCTCACCTCAACGGGATAAGAAATAGTTTATTTTGGAGCCAAATGTGAGTGATCATGGCCCAGGACACCAATTCAGATTACCTTGAATCCCTGCTCCTACCTGATATCAGTTTGACCAAGTTTTCATAGTAGCGTAACAAAGAAAGTCATAGATGAAGGCACTTTAAAAATACATCCGTGGGAGTACTAGGAAGACAGGTTCCAGAAAAGTGAGGCAATTCCTGCTCTAGCCTCGGATGATGTCTAATGACATTCTGAGCTTTTGTAGTGAGGAAGCCAGGGATCTGTTTTAGCACATTCCTACGGGTTTTACCTCTTAGTCCCGAGGATGTTAGATCAGATACAGAGGTGGGCAAGAAGTGGATAATCGGCCTGCCTGTGCTGGCTAGTTTTATGTCAGCCTGACACAAGCTAGAGTCATCTGAGAGGAGAGAACCTCAACTGAGAAAATGCCTCCATAAGATCAGTGTGTAGGGAAGACTGTAGGGCATTTTCTTAATTAGTGACCAATGGGGGAGGTCCCAGTCCATGGTGGGTGGTGCCATCCCTGGTCTGGAGGCCCTGGATTCTATAAGAAAGCAGGCTGAGCAAGCCAGGGGGAGCAAGTCAGTAAGCAGCCCTCCTCCATGGCCTCTGAGTCAGCTCCTGGTCCAGCTTCTCATCCCGTTTGAGTTCTTGCCTTGGCTTCCCTGAATGGACTGCGACTCAGGATGTGCAAGCCAGATAAACCATTTCCTCCCCAACTCTTTTTGGTTCACAGTGTTTCATCACAGCAGCAGCAACCCCAATTATTACAGGGGATGAAGATAGCTCAGGATAAGTTGCAGTATCCCAACCTCCCCGCGATTGAGATTCTAACCAGTTAGTCGGCCTTGGATACGGTTCTCTCCAGAAACTTGTTCACAAGTTACCTCTCTTTGCCAACCATCACATTTTGCATGTCTAGGGGCCACATAGCTTTGATGTCTCCCACCCCTAGGATCTGACGTAGAGGAAGCTGAGTGGTAAACAGGAGGGCAGGCTTCAGGAGAGAGGAATAGCAGTTAAGCCACTAAGCAAGAACTCCTGGATTATAGCATTAGAACCTACTAGTTATTTTGACCCCGTTCTGGTTTTAAAAAAAATCTATTTATCTGGCCTAATGTGTAAAATATAATAAGAATAACATAATGAAATTAAATTAAAATAATCAGGAACACTGCCTGGCTTAGTGGAGCGAAGGTAGCAGATAAGGGAAATAGGCATTTTTTTTTTTTTTTTTTTTTTTTGC